CTCTCTGGGACCTGCACCTCATAGGGAGTGTTCACAAATTCAGGAGCGTTGTCATTGATATCCAGGATCAGGATTCGAACCATGGTTGTACCTGACCTAGGAGGAGACCCTCCATCCACTGCCGTGAGGGTTAAGCTCAGTTCTTCCTGCTCTTCTCTGTCCAGGGCTCTGTCCTGCACCAACTCTGGGTATTTCTTTCCTTCACTATTATTTCGAGTGAGGACATGAAAATGAGAGTTGGGGCTGACTGTGTACTGTTGAAGCCCGTTACTCCCCACATCCAAATCCTGGGCTAAATTCAGTGGTAACAGAGTGCCTGGCTGACTGTTTTCCAGTATTTCCAAGAGCATTTCCCTATCTGGGAATTCTGGAGAATGATCGTTTATGTCCTGGATCAATAATTCTCCTTGAAAATATTGCACTGGCTTTTCAAGAGACACCTGGAAATGCAGCACACAAGGGTCCACAGAGCCACACAGCTCTTCCCGGTCTAGTTTCTCCCTCAGAAGCAAATCTCCAGTCTCAGGATCCAGCAGCAACCGCTGCTTGAAATCATCAGACACCACCCTTGCAGACCTGACAGCCAGCTCCCCAGATCCCAGTTCCAGATCCTTGGCCAGATGGGCTACAAAGGAGCCACTTTCTGTTTCCTCCAAGACAGAGTACCGAATTGTCGCCTCACTGCAAACTTGAACCAATACCATCATAAAAATAAAAGCCATTACTTGCCTGTTTGGGTGAACTCTCTCCAGCTTCTCCATGATGGGGAAGTGAGTGCTTGCAGCCAATCCTTTAGCAGTCTCCAAACGCTTTGAAACACTGAACTCTAATTTTTTTCTTTAGAGGAATCTTCACAACGTTGCTCTTAATCTTACATTAATTCATTATATCCTTGCCCAAAGCCTTCCATAGCTAGACAGTCCCTGAAAAGCTCTTGCCTGTGTCTTTTGTTCTGTATTGCAACAAGCAATTCCGGGTATTTTCCTGCTTATTAATCTAGCCTTAGCCTGCAGCGCCACCCTGTGTCATTTTTTCGTAAATTCACACAGTTCTATTTTCAAGCCAAAGGCTTCTTTAAAGTTTCCAAATTAATGTCGTTTTAAGAGTGTATGCAGATGTTTTTTTTCTTTATCAATGTTGGTCTTGTTTGAAATTTCATAATTACTATAGTTATTTTATACTGAGTAGGAGAGGAATTAATCAAAACTAGAAGACAGCTAGTCTTCCCACACATTTAAGATTTGAATAATCAGTTAAGGCAAAACAAGAAAGGATTTTTATAAATGTGTTTTTTCCCAATGATAAAATACCAAAGTTACACAGTTATAAATTATTCCTTCTATATGTTATTATAGAAGGAATTACTTTTGGGGATACTCCAGTGCACAGATTCTGTTGCATAGATTGAATTCATCAGCTGACCATCTGAGTGAAATAGCTACAAACCAAATAGTACATGTTGGTAAGACACAAACTATATTTTAATATTAACTAAACTTCCAAGCCTGAAATATTTTAAAGTACTTTGACATTATAAAGTTTGATGCAATCTAAGACAATAGCTAACAAATCTTTCTTGTTTCTACTTAAGTAGAAAATAGTATTTATACAGTTAGTACACAAATAATTCATATATCTGATTTCAAACTTAGAATATAACATTAAAACCAGGAAATCTGATTTCCTCAAATTTCTTCTTTTTTCATTATTGTTTTGGGTATTCGGGAGTTTTTGCATTTTCTGTACTTCTTTTTCCTTTCTTCTTGTTCTTCTTGTTCTTCTGGTTCTTGTTGTTGTTGTTGTTGTTGTTGTTGTTCTTCTTCTTCTTCTTCTTCTTCTTCTTCTTCTTCTTCTTCTTCTT